TAACCCCTTGTCTGCCTTGCAAACGTCCAGCTCCCTTAAAGCGGTTTGCAACTGTGCATGTAACTTATCGTTATCTGCACACGCGTCTTGGTACGCTCGTTCCTTATCCGCAAACTTCTCCTCATATGATCGAGCCTGTTCTGACAGCTCTCTCTTTGAGAGGTCCTTATCAGTTTGAATCTTTTGTTTCAGCAACTCAGATTCACTTATCAGCTCGGCACACTTCTCCTCATATGATTGAGCCTGTTCTGACAGCTCTTTCTGTGAGAGGTCTTCAGCAGCCTCAAGGTGTTGCTTCAGCGACTCAGATTCAATCATCAATTCGTCACACCTCTCTTTTTCAGACTTATATCCGTTGAATAGCACGCCCTTTTCTACCACCAAACGGTCTAATTCCGCCTTCAGAAGCAAAGAGATTTTTGCTAACCGTATGCGGCTTGATTTTGTGTCCTCCTTCACTGTAGCTGCTCTTGATAAACTCTGCAGCTCCTCATGTCTTTGATCGTCATCAAGGTCTCGCAATTCCTCCAAATTTTTGCCAATAATTGAATTTGTTAAAATGTGTAAGGCTGTCTGGACCGCATCCTCGGATTGTAAGGGGTCAGTGTTTACCTCCTCGTCCGCCATTATCTGCTATTTAGAAATTAAATAGTAGATGTAACGTTTAGGTGGTAACAGAAAATCAGAAAATCTCTTTTTCCTGATAAGTTTTACTCTTATTTAGTGAATTATCAATTAAACGTGCGTTATCTTCTAGCAAAATGAGTAAACTATTCAACTCTGTGAATATCTGTAACTGTATCTTATTTAAAAGTTTCCAAATTTTTATTATGTACCTGTTTCTCAAGGATTTATCAGTGAATAAAAATTTGTTTGGTAAAAGCTCTTTGCATAAATACCTTCATAACTTTTAAAACGCAAGATAACAGTGTTTATTCAGCTTTGAGGAAGTTTAACTCAAAAGTTGCCTTACAGAAAAATAAAACGTTTAATTTCACTCTTTACCTAAAACGAAGTGAAAACCTGTGATCCCACGTCTTCTCCACAAGATGTCAGCAGATACTCAACAATTTTAACTCAGACACTGTTTGTGTCGTCCACTAGGGGTGCTATAACTTCCTGTGGCGTCCGGTCGTTAGCTTGTTAGCTAAAATTAGCATCGGCTTGCTTCGGTGAAAACCAACACTTCTGAACGGATTTTTTACACAAACGTGGCAAAATTTTTTCAATCAGACCTTATATCATGAAACATGAGTTTTGTGGAACAAAATTGCAGCCGTATTTAGTGAATTTAAGCACGGTAAAGCTCATTTCCGACTTGGGGGAAGTGACGTGACACGTCATCCATCCGGTCGTTAGCTTAAAATTTAGCATCGCTAGCGTAGTTCAAAAGCATCATTTTATGACGGTCTTTAAACTCAAACGTGGCGAACTTTCAGCGAATATGCTTCGAAGAATGTAAACAGCGTTTCAGAACACAGCTTTAATGCGCTTTCCAGCGTTAAAAAGCAGATTTTATTCCCTATGAAAACGAGTCTTCATTTCCGGGTGACGTGATTGACACTTCCCTCATCCAATCAGAACGTTACACACGGTCTTTCTCAACCAATGACGCAGCGTAGGGGTGAGGGGAGGTGACGTCAGTCAACCGTCTCAGCAAATCAGAGCTGTCCACAGCAGCAAACAACCAACCACGAAGCGTTAGCAATAACCAGCATGTTAGATTCAGCCTGAAGCTATTTCATCACTTATCGTCTTCTAAACCATCAAAATGCACTTTCTCTGCTAAAAATGTAACGAATCAACTCTGAGCTGCCCGGAGTCCGCCACTCCGGTCTCAAAACGTCTTTCTAGCTATTTAACAACTCGTTCGAACTTTTCCAGAACCGAGTCGGAACCACAGAACCGAACCCAGAACAGCGTCTGGAACACAGTTTAAACAGAATAAAGCGTTTCCACAGCTCAAAGCCAGCTTATGTTACACATACAGACGTACAATTCAGCTTTATAAAGACTCAATGACACAATTTCAGCTTTTAAAACAGTGCCAGCGTAACACAAGCGCGCAGTTGCAGAGCCGAGCTCCAATTGCGCTGCGTAAAGACGCACGGTTTCAGCACAGCTGATAAACTGTTATTGTACAACCTTGCCAATGAAAATCAATGTGTACACGGTTACAGTCCATTTAGGAGCGCGTAGCGGGCCACCAGTTGTAGATGAACAGATGCTGGGATATATTCATCATTTAACGCGGGTTCCTCATTTTTCTGGACTGAATAAAACGTGCATTGAATTTAAGGAAATGCAAACGTGAGACGTCATTTAGATTTGACCCATCAAAATGAATGCGGTCATTTATTTACAGAATCAAATTTAACATCAAACATGTACATTAATTTGGCAAATTATGAAACTAACAATATAAGCAATCAATCAGGAAAAATCATACGGCCATGATTTTTCCGTTGCTGCACCACAGACATTTATAAAACTGTACAACTATGATCTTTTACCCACACGGATGTGAATAAGCACTTTACACAGACATTTCTAAATATCTGGGAGAATTTCTACTTGATAGAAAGTTAAAGATGAAAGAAGTTTAGAGGGAGTAAAGGATGGTGTGTGAGGGAAATTAAGTGTTCACCAGAATCGACACTCTCCGGCTTTCTTCAGCTTTTCCTTACAGTACACTTAGGTGATGAAATCGGCTCCTTTACCTGGAGATGTCTCAGGTGAGATTCCGTTTAACGCACCCTTTCAGCGTCTCAGTAGGATGCTGTTACTCGTCCGAAGTAATGGCGAGGCTCTGTTCGACACACATTCACCTCAGTGGAAAATGTTATAATCCCATGGAACTCGGAAGAGCTTTGTTGTCATGTCAGGAACTCCAACAGCACTCCATCAGAACTTTAGCTCTCGTGTAGTTTACCGAACTCCCACAGAACTCCTGAAGTCTGACAACTCTCCAACTCCGAGAACTCTGTAACTCTGTGTCTCTGTGAGTCTGTGAGTCTAGGAAGTACTGACATTTTAAAGACTCTTTCCCGGTTCACTTTTTGGGATTTTTCATTGGTCAGAAACGACCAGACGGGGTGGGTTTTGTGACGTAAGAGGTTAGAGACAGCGAGAATTGTTATGGGACAGCTCAGAAATGTTCTCACAGACCGAGAGGGTTTTGTTGTGGCGTGTTTAAGAAACAGGTGCAAAACATCTCTATTTACGTCTGAGAGGATTCTAAAACATGACAGTTTTAACATAACAACTTGTTTTTCGTTTGACTGTAACCTTGTAAACGCACACACTTGCTCATTCAAAAGCAGAAATCAGAAAAATGCATAATTACTCTGCAACAGCTTTTAACATGAGAATAAAAATCATTACTCGGTTAATAAAATTGATTAGTTCACTGCAACATCTAAAATGGTTTGAACTAAGACACTTTGATTATCAACATTTGTAAGATAGTAATGATAATAAAAAGAGAGTGTTCTTTTCACTTGAATCTTCAAGAAAGAAAGTCTCAGGATGGGTGAACCTGTATTTATGGATTCAAATACATGAAATGACAGCTTCTGTCCCACAAGGTTCTAAAGGTCAAGAGTTTTGACCTTAGACTTAGTTTCGACGTAGGCCTAGTCCACTACATTTACGTTTATCAGCATGCTTCTCACGTGTCGTGTCGTCACTTTTCAAAGCTGCATGTTTCTCAGTTTTTATCTTTGTGAAAGAGCTCCCACACTTTGGAGGACTTGGGTTGAACAGTTTACTCTGCATCGGTTATTTGTAAAATTTATTTAATTTCCTTTGAAAACAGCCTCTGCTCTGCTTCCTCTTCCCCCCTCGCTCTGTTCAACTCGCTCTGCAGAGTTTTTTTTTCCAAACTTTATTCAGTCAGTCAACATTGACAATGAACTGCCCGTGAACAAAATGGCTCCGCAGCTCCGTGAAAGACGCTTAATCATGCAACACAACGAATTGATAATGAAATTCGTTGCCAACACTTTTAATCAAAGATTTTTATCAATTTGTTGCTGCAGCCGTAGTAGGTGGTGTGTACTTGGGTTGGTTTTCACCTTGTCCCTGCAAACATATAAACAAACATGTAATGTCACTGTTCCTGTAATGTTAGCTTAGGATTAACTGTTAATTAGCTTAGCTCTATTTTTGTTGCCTAACTAACTTAAATGTTGGTGATTCCATATTTGAAAAGTGATGCAACCTTTTCACAATATATGCTGTAACCGTTCTGTGGCGCTCTTCATTCAATTAGTTGCACCGACGTATTTCCCTTGGAGGACTCCTTAGTGAATGGAGGAGCACATCGTGGAGCCTAGCTAACATTATTAGCCATTTCTGGTCGTTTGTCTAAGAAAAAAATACAAGAGCTAACGTTAGCATGGTGTTTGCATTTGAGTTGACCTACCGTTTTGAGTCGAGTATAACTTGTTATCTGCCTTAATGTTGGTATGAGACGTAGTTTATAGTTTTATTTACCTGATGGAGCCGGAGGAGGAGGCAGCGAGTCCGGTGGAGTGCTTCAAAGACGGGCCACACTTTTACTATACACCCTTTTTTGCACGATATAAAATTATTGCAGGTGCTGCTCTGAGCTGACTGCTCATTTTATTAAAGTTAAAGCTTTCGATCGAGACCGCTCACTCCATGTACGGGAACACTTCTGGTGGATTCTTCTTCATTGGTGTTTGGCGGGCGGCTTCAACTTCTGGTTGGCAGACTAGGAATCGAAAATAAATATTTCCAACAATTCTGGGAAACCCGGACATTTAGTCCCAGTTCCAGTCGATCCTTGATGCCCAACACTACTGATCATGTGCAGCTACTAAGAGCAACTCATTATTACAAATAGCACAAAATGAAGTTAAAATAATAAAATTTCTTAAAGGATCTTTGTAAATTGTGTGTGTGTGTGTGTGTGTGTGTGTGTGTTTGCGTGCGTGTGTGTGTGTGCGTGCGCACACTCTTATCTGCTCAGCTCCAAGGACAGTTTTATTAAGTGGTGGGATTTGGACACTCAGCACTGCTTCAAGACCATGGTGGACCATCGCAGTGAGGTGAGAGCTTCTAACCATTAACACAACTGGTCACTGTTCCACAGGAAGTCACCGAGGAGCTTCTCCTGACCTCTAGTGGTCTCTGTCAGGGTTTCACACCGTGATGGTTGACCACAGAGATGAATCGTGGCTAACGCAGCAGACATTAGTGTCGTGTTGAGGTTTTCCAGAGTCAACTACCAAACCTTGATTTTGCTTATAGAAGATGATAAACAGAAAATCAGATGTTTTTTAAAGAACAATATTTACCATAGTCAGACTGTCTTTTTGGTAAGTATTAAAAACTAAACAAAGATTATTTATTTATTTTCATTTGGTTCTGAATTTAGTTTGAACACACGACTTCTGATAATAAAGGTTTTATTGTCCCTAAAGAAGGGAGCGCCTGAAAGAAGAAAAAGTGTGTGTTACCTGTTGTTCTGTCTGTACAGCACTTTGGTTGGCCTTGTAGCTGTTTTAAGTGCTCTATAAATAAAATGGTATGGTATGGTAAAAATGCATCAATAAATATTTGGTTAAGAACGGAAAAGACAATAACTAACAAAGTTGTGAGTTCTTGTTTGTGAGGAACAGTGAATGCAACATGATTTTATGTTGCTGCAACAGGACATTTTGTATTGTGTTTGTCATATTCTGTATAAATATGAGTAGAAATATTAATGACATTTCCTTCACTCAGGTGTGTGAAACGCTTAAATTTCAGCAGCATTGATCCGTATCAGTTAGCAATAACGGGAGCTAATCGGTACAAGCAGACATGAGTTTTTAGGGACGGAACAGTCTTAAAGTCGTAGTTGAGATTTTGGTACTAGTAAGTGTATGTATATAGGAAGGTGATGAACAAATAATATCTTCCCTGTTGTATCTGACCAGCTTCAGATCAGAGAAAAGGAGTTAGTTCACGCTGAACTGACGAGCTCCTTCAAACATGTCAGTTAAAGCAAACACTGTCTTGTAAATCTAAACTGCTCTCAATTTTTCATTGCTCTTTTTTACAGAGTGCTATGGTTACTTGCAAGAACGAAAGCAGCAGCAGCTAGCTGTAGCACTTTCAGTGCAGCCTGGGGTCACTTTTAGCAGAAAAATCATGATTTTGCCTGAATAACTGATGACGGTGTCAAATTAGAAACACAGTGTTTTTGCATCAAGTGTTATAAAGTATATGAAAATAAAGTTATGTAACAGTTGCCTTGACCTAGCTTAGACTAGCTGCTAGCTTGTTAGTCTGGTCCAAAATAAACTGGAGTGGGTCAAAGGGCTATCTATGACAGGTAAGATGATCATTGTTTCTGCCTTTCTATAGAACCTGTCTATCACTTGAACCTCCCAGTTCTCCCTGAAACTGAGAGCTGATGCTTGAACTTTTGAACTGGAAGTTATATTTTCCTATAATTCACAAAAAACAAAAACAAAGTTACGGTCGAGTTTCACAAAAGTAAAATACAAACTTTCAGTTTTCTTTGGTTAGTGATTCTCTGTGACAGTTTTTCAAGTACTTTTTGTACTATACTCAGTAATCAGTGATATTAGAATTAGTTATGACTTCTTCAAGATCATAAACTCGTATTTGTTGACGTGTCAGCAGATTCCATGTGTGTGTGTGTGTGTGCGTGTGCGTGTGTGTGCGCGTGTGCGTGTGTGTGCGTGTGTGTGTGTGTGTGCGCGCGCGCGCGCTAGGTGTGGGGCATGTTGCTGTTGAACCAGGAGAACAGACTGCTAACGGGCTCTGCTGACAGCGAGCTTCGAGCCTGGGACATGAGCTTCCTGGAGGAGGTGAGGAGGAGCGAAGCTCGTCTTCACTCCAAACGCAACAAGTTTCTTTCAGCTCTCACTCAGACAGGAAGCACAGCAGCAGGGCAGAGCATTGTGCTCCAGCTGAACAATCAGAAGATTTGTTAGGATGAAACTGTTTCAGTTTCTGTGGGTTGTTGTGCCGTCATGATGCAAGCAGTCATGTGACTGGCTCAGAGTGCAGCCTTAACGTCAGCTCACTTTGTGTCTTCATTCTTGCTCAGGAGAAAGCTGAAGGTGAGCCCAAAGTGAAGAAGGAAAAAATACTGCTGGACGACAATGATGATGGTGAAGAGGACCATGAGAAAGGAGATGAAGATGAACGTCTTGAAGAGGTACAGTTGTAGTTATCTTTTTTTTGTCAAACAAAATACTTGTCACATTGCATTTATATGAATGTTTTTCTCTCCTTAGCGTATTTTGAGCTGTAAGAAGGCCGGCTCCATCCTGAGAGAAACCCGAGATCGAGTCGTCTCGTTAACATCGGACTCCAAGGCCCAAGTTCTCGCCTGTCATGTGAGCGTTAAATGCTGAGTCAGCATTCACATTTTTTAAATCTTTTTTTTAATCATAGTCTCTCTTTTTTTTTTAGTAATTTTTTCATTTGAACTTACAAAACACGAACAAAAACCCCATCTCAACCCTCCCCTCACACACCGGATCAGTCACACATACATAAATGAACTACACAGGCTCTGACATGTTTTCCACATACAACACGTGCCACGTGTCCCAAAACCTTTTAACAGAACCCTTAAGATTATATCTGATTTTTTTTTATAGATGAATATGATACATCACCTCTATTATCCAATTACATGTACTGGGGGTTGTGGGTCCTTCCAACTGCACAAAACAAGTCTTCTGGCCAGGACAGAGCCAAAAACAGTCACATCCTTTTTGTACTTGCTGAAGGACGTATCTACAGGGACCACCCCGAGCAGTGAGATGAGTGGTGGTGGGTGTACATTTCTACAATATATCCCAGACAAAGTGTCAAAAATAGATTGCCAAAATGTCTACAGTTTGGGACAAGTCCAGAATGTATGCATGAGTGTAGCTTGAGTTTGTTTACAACGATTGCATGCAGGGTCCAGGTTGGCTTTGATCTTGGACAGCTTGTTTTTGGACCAGTGCAGCCTGTACATCACCTTGAATTGAACTACAGCATGTCTCAGACAGATTCAGGATGAATAAATGTTTTTAATGTGATATTTTGCCAGATTAAGTCTGATATGGATTCCTCCAAGTCTGTTTCCCATTTCAGTTTGAGAGAGTCCAAACCAGTCTCATGGTATGACAACTGAGCAGTCTATAGATATTGCTGAGGTCCCCCTTAGTGTCAGACCTGCAGAGTTAGATCTCACAAAATGTCCCAGCTGTAGAGATCTGAAAAACTGTGACTTGTGGATATTAAAATTCTGAACCAGAAGCTCAAAATATGCAAATTTATCATCAACATAGAGATCATATAGTGAATGCACTCTCCTCAAGACCCAGGTGTCAAAAGCTGTATCGGTTACTGAGGGAATAAACATAATTATAATAATAATTTTTATTTCAGGGCGCCTTTCAAAAACCTAAGGTCACCTTACAAAATCAATTAAAATCAGCAATTAATAAAAACAGAATCAACAAATAATTAAAATAAGTCACGATAAAACAACACTTAAAACAAAGTTAAAGAGAATATGCCTGTTTGAACAGGTGTGTTTTCAGTAGTGATTTAAAAGAGGGAAGAGAGTCTGTGTTCCTGATGACGAGCACAGAGACTGAAGGCTCTGTTCCCCATGGTGACGAGACGGGCAGAAGGAACATTAAGATGAGTGGCAGATGAGGATCTGAGGGAACGGGAAGCAGTGAAGATGTGAAGCAGATCACACAGGTAAGGAGGGGCAAGGTTATGGATGCACCTGAACGTGAGAGTTAAGATTTTAAAATTTATTCTAGCTTCTATGGGCAACCAGTGAAGCGGCTGCAGAACCGGGGTGATGGGTTCTCTGAACGGGGTACAAGTTATGACCCGAGCTGCAGAGTTCTGGAGGAGTTTGAGTTTATGGAGAGTCTTATTCGGGAGACCAAAAAGAAGAGAGTTGCAATAATCAATCCTGGAGGTGATAAGGCTATGGACAAGGATAGCAGCAGCGTGAGGAGTAAGAAAAGGACGAAGTCGGTTGATGTTATGCAAATGAAAGTATGCAGACCAGGTGATAGAATTAATATGAGATTGAAATGAAAGCGTATTATCAAGTATGACACCCAGACTCTTTACCTGAGGGGAAGGATGAACATGGGAGTTGTCAATATTGATGGAAAAACACTGTGATTTGGTTAAAGTGGAGACTGTGCCAACAAGTAAAACTTCTGTTTTCTTACTGTTGAGTTTAAGAAAATTTGAGGAAAACCATGATCTAATTTCCATAAGACAGTCCGATAGGGAGGAAGGTGGAAGAGATGAATTGGGTTTTGAGGAAATGTAGAGCTGAGTGTCATCTGCGTAACAGTAAAAATTGACATTATGTTTGTGGAATATGTGGCCAAGAGGGAGCATATAAATAATAAATAAAATGGGCCCTAATACAGAACCCTGGGGCACACCTGCAGCAATGGGAAACACACTTGAGGAATGGGTTTTAAATTGAATAAACTGAGTGTGGCCTGAAAGATATGAATTAAACCAATTAAGTGGAGTATGACATAACATGGTTATTTGACAAGTGTCAGAAACACTCCTCCTTGAATCACCACCTTATCGTGGTGGAGGAGTTTGTGCACCTGAATGATCCTAGGAGCTCTGCTGTCTGTAGGGTCAGATTGGTTTAAGGTGACAGGCCAGACAAAGAGCAATTCAGAAGACTTGTATGGACAAAATAAAACGAGGAACTTGGTGTCCCTTGCCTGGATGTGGGTTACCGGGGCTCCACCCTGGAGCTAGGCCTGGGGGAGGGACTCGTCGTCGAGCACCTGGTGACTGGGTCTCTACCCATGGGGCTTGGTCGAGCTCAGCCCGAATTAGCAACATAGGTTTTCTTTCCTGTGGGCCCACCACCTGTAGGAGGGGCCATACGAGTCAGGTGCATGAATCCATTTTATTATCTCAGAATAATAAGAAAAAATAATGCTCTCTTCAAAACACCACCAATAGCACAGAACCATCCATCCATCTATTATCTTTTACCCGCTACTTCCATTTTGGGTCACGGGGGTCGCCAGTGCCCATGTCCAGCATTCACAGTGCTAGGGGTGGGGTACACCCTGGACAGGTTGCAAGTCCATCACAGGGACACATAGAGACAAACAACCATTCACTCTCTCACTCACACCTAGGGACAATTTAGAGTTACCAATCAGTCTAACATGCATGTTTTTGGTCTGTGGGAGGAAACTGGAGTACCTGGAGAAAACCCACACATGCATGGAGAGAACATGCAAACTCCACCCAGAAAGGCCCCTGGACCAGGATTTGGATTAGGGACCTGCTCGCTGAGAGGCAGCAGCTCTACCAGTTGTGCCACCGTGCTAGCACAGAATCAGCAGTACTGAAATAAGAGGGAAAATATATACAGTATATGTATATATACTAGGGCTTTAACAGACTAGGGTTAGGGCTACCCGAGTAATCGATATGTCGATTCCTAGGACATCTCTCTCTCTCTCTCTCTCTCTCTCTCTCTCTCTCTCTCTCTCTCTCTCTCTGTCTCTGTCTCTCTCTCTCTCTCTCTCTCTCTCTCTGTCTGTCTGTCTCTCTCTCTCTCTCTCTCTGTCTGTCTCTGTCTCTCTCTCTCTCTCTCTGTCTCTGTCTCTCTCTCTCTCTGTCTGTCTCTCTCTCTCTCTCTCTCTCTGTCTGTCTCTGTCTCTCTCTCTCT